TTCCCGATAGTGTTATTGTTTTGCGTAGGTAAGCTTTGGTTCGTGAGAAAATGGCATTACAAGTTTTGTTTACAACAGCTGATAGGCTCTTTTTAATTGTTGGTCGAGAAATTATTAATTCGGTCTGCCCTGAAACTTCTTGCCTGTGAGCAGTTTCACGCCAAATGACAAATTGATATGAGGAGACCTTCTCCGATTTGCATGAAACTTTGCAACATTGTTTGTTGTGATCAATCATTCACTTTTAAGCTAAAATTCGGCCATTTTGGAACTTGAAAAAAAAATCAAAATGACATATTTGATATGTTTCAACAAATCATAACTCGGAAATGTCTTTTTCTTCTTCTTCTTCGCATTTCAAGCTTATTGCATATCGCATATTAGCTTATTGCGTGCTCTCAAGTTAGTGTTCTAGATGCACTTCAACAGTTATTAATTGAGAGCTTTCGATGCCTGTACCATTTTTGCATTGGTATAATTGTGTGGCAAGCAGGGCGTCACAATATCAGCTTCAATCGACCAAATCGATGCGACTGCTGGCTTTCTTTTTCTGTTAAAGTCGAACAGCTTCGCAGCATTCTAGAACCTCAGTCGGCGTGCACAAACAAATGTTCAATCGCTTGTCTCTCTTTCTCCCGTCGCTCCATTGCACAGTGGTTCCCCTTAGAACAAAAGTTGGCCAAAACCTCAAAATTGTTGCTAATAGGCAAAAAACAGTTGAAATAGATGTTTTTTTTAGCTGTACGAAGAAAACTTGACAATCAAGACGTCACAAAAAGGAGTATAGTGGAACCAAAACCAATGCACAATGGTCCCAGCCGAATTTACCTAGGAAGACAAAAATGTTTGCGCCCAAACCGTCAGTTTTAGGTATATGGTTTCTTAGGGAAAGTTGCTTCATATTTTTTGTTCAATCTTTTTATGTTCGTAAAATTAGGGTGGTCCATAAAATTGGTGAATTAAAAATACAAACTATTTATTATTTGAGATAGACCAAAGCAGTGTTCTAAACAGTTGTAGAACATTAAATTCAAAGTAACTTTGTAGAAAACACAACGTTTTTAACTCTTATGGTTCATGAGTTATGATTTTTAAAACAAGCAGGTTAGGGTGGCCACTAAAATCGATTTTCTTTGAATATCTTTTCATGCGTTAATTTCTTGTAAAAACATTGTTCTGATTACATTTAGAACTTTTGATGACGCATTTTTTTGCTCAAGCAACTAGGTTACTTTCTTTTTTGATTAGAAAGTTAAAGGCTCTTTTCTTCGAAAAAATGACTCTTTTCAATTGTCAATATCTCAAAATGGAGGTAACCGATTTTCAAACATTTAACTTCATTAGAAACATCGTTTTTTTTTCATTTTTGGTAAAAAAAAACTGCAAGAGCTTTTTGTGTTTAAAGCATTTAATTTAATTTAAAAAAAAAGTAATATTTTTTAACATTACTAGTCATAACTTTTCAAATAAAAGAGATAACAACTTAGCAAAAATATGCGTCATAAAAAGTTCTTAAAGTATATGGTATAAAAATTTCGAGAAATGAACGTATGTAAGATATTTAAAGAATGCCGATTGTCTAGGGGCCACCCTAACCTGCTTGTTTAAAAAAATCATAACTCATGAACCATAAGAGATAGATATCAAGAACAACATGTGAAAAGGGCATACAAGCTTTTTGTAAACAAACGTTCTTATGCCCTTTTCTCGGCACCCACATAAAATACAAGCAAATCATCAACATCACTGGATAGAGGGAACTTTCCCCTTCCCGATGATGATATTGGTTTGCGTGGGCGACGCTCGGTTTTTCGAGAAAAGGGCCTACACAGGTTTGTTTACAAAAATCTTGAATGCCCTTTTCACATGTGGCTCTTGATATATGGTGCGTGTGTGTATGTGTGTGCGTATTGGTGTGCTTTGAAAAAGGCACTGTGAAGCTTGCTACGGTATACACCGCAGATTATATAACTTAGAAACAGATATTTTCAAAGAACACTTTACTTGTTATTCCTAATTTCAACATGTTTCGCAAAAAATCGCAAAACACATTAAAGCCTATCTGAAAGCTAACTTTTCTAGCTATCTTTTGGTTACTAAATGATAGTGGGTGGATGTGTCCGTCATATGTTTTGCTTAGTCTAAATGCGAAAAAAGTATATTTTTGCTAATTTATATAATAAAAACTGTCACTAAAAACACTAAGACACTCTTTTTTACCATCCATTTGACGTAAATTAAGCCAAGGAACATTTCTTCTAAAGCAACCAAGTTTATAAACAAATTATTTTTTGCTATATTTGAGCAAAACAGTAACAAGAAACATTAAGATTTTTTACAAAATTTTTTGATATCGCTGCACTAAAACAGCCATAAAAAAATATTTAATCAACAAAACTGCACAAATCATTCAATTTAGGATACTCTTAACATGTAAAAATGATAAAAAAATATTGAAATAAAAAAATATCGGCTTTAATTTTTGAGGTTTTGGCCAGCCAGGAACCACTGTGCATTGGTCTTCCTTTCAAGCTTCGTCGAAACGGATGAGCGAAAGAGCGCTCGACTTTGATAGTTTTCTCTTCCATGAAACACATCAACAGAGGTTTCATGACGCATATGACGGAAAATGAAATAACACATTTAAAGCATTTCTCACGTCAAAACACTTGAAGATTACACGTCATATTTTTAATTTATCTTCCATCCATATATTTATCTAAAAAAAATGATCGAAAACGGGACATAACGCATTTTAAACAAATTGAAAGAGCGGTGATATAGTGTTCGTGAAAAAGGATTGAAAGCCATAATGAGGTTCGTTTAACTAGAAAATCGACGTTAGTTACATTGAAAGCGATGAGCAAAGCAACGACGAGAAGTTCCACAGCCAGCCTTTCCTTCTAAGCGTCCTGCTTTTTTATTTTCGTTTCTTGCTGATAGTCTAGCTAGGCGTTATAGAAATGAAGTGTCGAACACGTATGTATGAGAGAAACAAAACAGGAGTTCATTTTAGAGCTTCGAAATTGTAGAGCCCTGGTGGCAAGTCCAATCATACTTCTATGCCCAGGGAAGCCAAGAAATTTTCCAACCCGAAAAATTCCTAGACCGGACCGGGAATTGAACCCAGCCACCCCAGCATGGTCTTGCTTTGTAGCTGCACCTTTACCGACTGAGCTAAGGGAGGCCCAGAAATGTCACCTCCAGTTTAAACGACGTCTGAGACAAATTTGTAGTAAAATATGTTTCCTTTTTTGGTAGACACCTTAAAAATAAAAAAAATACCAACACTTAAAAAACAACAATATTTTTGAAATATTTTTTTTTAAATCCTATAAACAATGATACACGACGTATCGTTCAAATTGGGACCTCCTTTAGCTCAATTGGTAGAGGCGCAGCTACAAACTTCAAGTGATATTTACATGGACAATGTCCTGTTATTAAATCAGTATTATATCATAAACACTGAGATCTTTCATTGATAATTCAAGAATTTTGCGAGCCATTGTAATGTTCGGATTTACGAACCATTTTGACTGCCTAGCAATGGAAGCGTTGTTCCAGTTGGTCTCCACTTTCATTTTTGGTGATGATAATGCCATGATTCCTGAGCAGGTCGTTAAGTGCTTTGGAGTATTCCAGAAGTTCCAAGGAAATTGTGATAACTTCAATTCAATCGTTGATACATCGCATCGCAATCGTAAAGCAATTTGCCAAAGATAACATTTTTGGAATCTTTCGAAAAAGGCCTATCGAAATCTGGTCGACTTTTTTAATAGTTCATGTTCATGTGTATCATTCCAACCAAAACAAAATGAGCATCAATTCCAATTGGTTAAGCTCTCACCCGCCGTAATTCAGAAGCATATCAATATGAACGCCGCACTCTGATTTCCCACAACACATACCGAAACAAAAACCCAACCGACCATCTGCTTATTGCTGCTGATCTAACTGTTCGTTAGCGTATCGCCTAGATTCAATGTTCGAAGCATAGATAAATTATAAAGCGATTCAATCGAGAAAGCAGGGAGTACAACAAATCTAAAAGGCAACACGTTATGATTTGCTGGTGGTGCTGAAATTGGATCGATTTTCACTTTTTGCATAGGATCCAAATTTGGACAAAGGGTGAAACTTAGCAGCAGTATTACCAATGATTTTTCGGGGCTGATTTCCTACTCAATATGCATTGCAATATCACTAGCCGACCTAGAAAGTTGCCCTTCGATGGAACAAAAAGCTCGGTATGTCACGTACATCTGTCGGATTTTTTATACTCTTTGACTGAAAGCACTTCACTGTTTCAAACATAGCCTCTAGTGCCTCCCATTTTCTTCAATCAAAACGATTATTAATTATGCGCGCAATTGATGATGTTCTCGGCTATAAATAACACCGTTCATGAACGAAATGCACTTTTATCGGAATGCACATTCGAGTTGGTTTACGTATAGGCACATTAAGAAGAGAGCAATAAAAGCGAGTTGAGCAATGAGGGTGGGGGAGATAATAAGAACAAAAAAAAATCTTTATGATACACGTCTGGCTGCAATCTTTCAGCATCACCGGCTGCACTTGGTAAGCAAACAGGAAAATGCATCTCAGCAAATATTTAGAGAGCACCATAAACAGAATGACAAGCGATTTTAACGATACACTTGTGGAAGTTTGTTATACCACGACACTCCACATCCGGGCAGCATCAGTCACTTTGCGGCTGCGGAACACCACCAGCAGGCCCAATCCAAAACCTGATTGAATCATTCATTTCTGTGCACCAATTTTGCAACATCTACAACAGCGACGCCCTTCGATCTTCGAAGAGCGAGAGCCACACGAATCCACTTTTGGAAGAACTTTTTCCGAAACTTCCTCCCGATCACTTCCGAATTAATCATAGTCACTATCCGTAGCATATCTTACGAATACCGTTTTGCATAAATTACACCTCAATTTTGTGCTTAAGTACATAGAAAACAGCAATAAAACTCTACCTTTTGCACATCAACGTCTGCGGCCGCCATAGTGATTCACTCAAGACTGAATCAGCCAACACGGTGACGGCGATTTAAAAGCTACTCGACTCCAGGGTTGCCAAATTGAAATCTGTGGAAATGGCAGATAAATCAAATTTCATGTATACATCAGATTTTTTTTTCGTCAAAGTTAGTTTGGGTCCTCACATTCCCAAATCGGTTCATTTTAAATTTTATCATAATTTTCCATATTTGTATGGATGGCTCTGAAGAGCCAAAATCACTTCATACAAAAATGCACCAAAAATGAATTCCAACGGAATGTTTTAAAACCCGAGTTAAAACCAACCTATTTAGGGATATTAGCACAGGTTAGCACCTAAACTAAGTGAAGAAAAATCGGATGTACATTAATGTTGATTAATCCATCACAAGGCGTGCGGTGAGATATTTTTAAAATTAATGTATTAAATTAATCAAGCATTATATATACAATTGGTTTTCACTACGATGTTAAAATTTTCACTCGATAGACTGAAAAAATATTTTTTTTTTTTTCTAAATTTAATTGATCGCTTTTAACGTTTTTACCCCGTGCAATCCTATTCTAATTAGAATGAAATGCTTATATGTCTCAAATAAAAATGTTATGGTTAATTTGCTAAACGACGTGTTCGGGGTATCATCCAAACCATTTGTGCAATAGTTCAATCATTTTGGGTTAACGTTTGTTTATGGTTATTTTTTATTGGAGGGAATTACATGCATTTAAAAAACATATCTCACTGTGACGGAGTTTGCGGGGGTCAACTTTAGATTGTAAATACAGGGGCCACACTGCGCAACTCGAAACTTTTGTTTTTACAAAATAAATGCTTTTATGAAAAAGTTCAGGGGAAACATGTCAGAAGGGTCTAACTCGAAACATAAACAATGACATGGATCCTCGGTTTCTTACGAATGACAACACACCCACTCAAACTAAGTAAATCATCTGACAGAGAAATGTTCGTTCTATGAGCTGGTGTAGTCAGATTCCATGGGTGTGTGGTCATTCAAGATAAATCGAAACGGCGCCGGTGGTGTAGTGGTAAGCGTGATTACCTCTCACCCCAGCAGGCCTGGGTTCAATCCCAGTCGGCGCCGCCGGGATGTTCTGAGGCATAACATCTCTGATCACGCCTTCCTTCGGATGGGAAGTACACAGAAAAAAAAAGTTGTTGAATATTACATCCAAACTGCTGCAACCAGGTCAATCCATCGGTTGATATTACACAATGTACGATGTACATCGATTTTGCGAACAAAATTACATCCATTGATGTAAAATTGTATCTGCATTTTGCTATTACATCATTATTTCATACATCAGCTTGAATTACATTGATCGATATTACATTTTTTTTTTTTGCTGTGTAAAGCCGTGGATCCCCGGTTCATGAGTTGATGGGTCGATAGGTAGGGTCCAGGTGTGGGAGCTGCCTTCCTGGCACGTCGGTAGCATTGGTGCTCAGCACGGAAAACAAGATCAACGGAAAAAACAAACCAAAGGAAAAAAAAAAAAAAAAAAAAGATAAATCGACGTTCAAAGTCATTGTTTACGTTTCGAGTTATACCCTTCTGACATGTTTCCCCTGAGTTTATCGTTTCGAACTGTGCAATGTGGCCCCAGATTATTGGATCAAAAAACACTGGAAAATCTGTAGAAAAACATATTATTCTGTAGATTTGGCAACCCAGTCGACTCCTCCTCGTCGCACAATACACGGTAACCGCAAAATACCCAATAATGACTACAAAGTAAGCATTTTCGAGGGAAACTGGGACTACCCATTAAATGAGTAAAATTTTACCCATTTATGAGTAATTACAACTACAACAACAAGTAGTAAGTATTCATTTTTGAGTAACAAATACTCATAAATGGGTAATATTTTTACTCATTTAATGGGTAGTCCCAGTCTCCCTCGAAAATGCTTACTTTGTAGTCATTATTGGGTATTTTGCAGTTACCGTGTACACGCTAACCTGAAAGTACCCGACCAACCGTTCGTGAAACTTCTTCAAAGTGCTTTATACAGAAATAAAGATTTATGTCGGCAATCCTTTACTTTAAATTTTCTATGATTTCGATGTACACATTTAAAAATCTTTATTGCTCGATACTTACATTTAAGATTATTTCTTCATCGGTCATATGATAGTAATCTATAAAGGTGCCATACTAAATTTCTTTTAATTTCGATATCTCACATGGACTTTAGTATTCTTTACAAATATTCATCAATGTTTATATTATTTATCGACATATTCGGCATTTCATCGGAAGAAGCAATCTGCTGGTAAATGAACGAGAAGACCGATGGCCGTGACGCAGCAAATGTTTACCATTGTAGTTCTTCACGTTTTATATTTAATAACCCGTGATAGCATGCGTATGGGATTCTCGGCATTTGGAACCCAATGAGGAAAATTAATACCTTTTTGAACTCTATTACACCTACATGGCTGACTGGTTGATGGTTATGACAAAACAATATTGAATTCATGTATGAAAAGATTTACAGAAATTTCAATACACCACATACTAGAGTGTGTTTGCCTGTCGTTGATAAGCTCATCAACAGCAGCCGTGGACCCGAGGATTAGCAACCAACAACGAAATCAGTACACCCCCCAGATGGCCTGGGATCGAAACTAGAAATTATGCAGATAAAAAATCACAAATAAAATCAGCAGTTGTGTATCGATATTTTAATTTTACAACAGAAATCGATATTTTGATCTGGCAACACAATCGACATTTTAACATTGGTAACGATTGGTAGCAATATTTTGAGACAGATCTTTATAAACGATTCACGATTAGACTTTTAGCATCTTTACAATTATTCATGAAATGGTGACGATCGCTATCGATTTTTCTTATGAATGGCTTTGAAGATCGATGTATAGAAAATTAAACAAAATTAACAAAATGGTTGGTCGGGTACACATTAAATGAGTATCTTGTACTCATTTTTTTAAATTATTCAAAACTGTCAAAAAATGGGTATTTTCGAAAATCTAAAAGCATTTTTGAAAATAGCCCCTGCAATTAAAATGGATAAAAATATGCATTCAATTGTAAAAAGAGCTATGTTGATGTTCACACATTCGTGAATTTTGCGTGCGTCGACCTGCAAATCGGTAAAAAATCGATTCGAATTAACACATTCGTTCCAGCAGGTGTTGATTGAGGTAAAAAAGTTAATTTGAAAATAATTCTGAGGCTGGGAGTTAAATTATTATTTTTTTACTTTCAGGGAAAGCAGGATTCCTGGTCACAATCTGGTACCGACTGTTACGAGGTAAGGATAAAAAGTGCAACTAGGAAGAACATTAAGCCATTCTAAAAACATGTATCGTTTCAGGTTAGTGAAGATCTTCGAAAAAGCAAATGAAGTTCACATGCGGAAGGGCCGAACTAAAGCCCTACAGTAAAAGTATGGACGACTGTCACCACAAAACTGAACAAAGCTGTTCCAATCGAGCAAAGCGGTGCATTTTGACGGTTCGATTGGAACAACTTTTGACAGACGTCCATACTTTTACTGTAGGGCTTTAGGCCGAACCTGCTCGAAGAGCAGCACAGAAGGACACTATGCCTCGATTGGTCAACGATTATGATATGTGCTTACGTGCAATAAAGTGTAATTATTGTTTTGATTTCATTGTTTAAGGATTTCAATTCAAGAGCAAATTTTCATTATGTCGTAAGTAACATTCGCACCGATCCGAGAAAAATAAAGTTTTGTTTTGATGACCGAAAAGTTATTCCTATTTCCAATTAAACACATATAATCTCATAGTGATAGCAATGTTTAACATATTTATCCGGGTTTTAATCATACAAAGGCCAATCGCTAGCTTTCATGCTAAGAAATACTGGTTTTTGAGTCAAAAGTTGTTATACGTCGTTTGGTGGCCCCTATTGTTACTTAAGTCAAAGTGTATTTACCAGGATATTCGGGAGAATTATCAATAACGTCTCCTTACGTGCAGCCCATTCATCATTTTAGGACCACCGAAATCATCTTAGCAACAAACAGTTCGATTTATTCACTTTAATAATGAGAAAGCGAAACGACGAAAGTACACTTTTCACGGGTTTCTCAGTGCTGTTACTTAAGGCAAACGGCATCTCCATAGAAATTGGGTGACTTAAGTAACATCGAAAACTATTTTGATCAGAAGGTGATTACGTCAAAAAGCAATTCGACTGGTAAATAAATTTAAAAATGGGATGTGATCCTATATTCAGACAGTATATAGTGTAATAACAGGAGCATCGATTGACACTGATAGCTCGACTTTGTTTACCTTTGTTACATTCGACGTAATGAAAATTTGCTCTTGAATTGGTATGATCACAGGCTCCCCCCCCCCATGAAGGAAAAACCAAATCAAAAAAATGGGTACTTTTTACTCATGTACAGAAATAGAAAGATGGATAAAAAAATACCCCTTTTCTGGCGTATTCATCAAATACTCATTAATGAGTAAAGTCGGTTTTACGCATTTCATGAGTTAAGCCACTTTTCTTCAAAATGGCTAAAATTTTACTCATTAATGGGTACTTTGGAGTTAGCGTGTATGTTAGCTGATGTTTTCAGTAAAAATATCGTTTGCTGTTTTTCAGTAAAGCATTGGATTGCTGGTCATGATCCAGCAATCCGTTTTACTGATATTGAAAACTTAAATTTGGTGTGTAGCATGTTCAGTTTTTATGATTTTTGTGCGTTCATTACCGCTGGGAGATAAAATTAAAACTTTGACAATTCCATCCGATATGATGGTGGTTTCAAATTCTGAATTAAATTAAATTAAAGAAAACGAAAGAAATCCAATTATAAAATTTGTGCAAAAGGGAGCAATTGAAAACCGAAAAAAAATTATGCGCTGTCAGTGGGGCCAAATTGACAGATTGTCAAACAAAAGGTACAAAAACGAAAGGGCGTAATCAAAATTGATGAATATAAAGAGCAAAATCTAATTTTGAGGATTTTTAACATTAAAAACAAAAAATTAAAATCTAAACTTCTTTGAACTGATTAACAAGGGCTAACTCAAGCTGAACGGTGCAAATAATAGATCTGCACTGCTTACTGATTTAAAATAAATCCATTTTTTCGCATAGAAAACTTTGACAGCGTTTTTCACAGCTTGACATCATTGTTAGCTTCGCCCTTTTGAAATGTTGATACCGAAATGGACAACAACGACATGAATCCGGTCAACTTGTCACTCTCTTCACTCCCAGCATAGTTTACCCATTTTTGGGTAGGTTCAGCTTCGGTCGATCTGGACTGATTCTACCCAAATGTAGGTAGATTTGAAATAGCGTTTAGTAAAAAAAACTATACCAAATGATAGAGGAATCATACCTTATAGTGTTATTAGTTTTCAAAATTGAGTTTTTATTCGCGATAAATCGGCGATTGACGTAAATGTTTACAAATACAATTACGCCCAAATATTAAATCACTCCTGTTATATGGGCTGAAATATTTCACCCATCATTGCCCCGCCTTCAAGCTCGCCTCGAGCTCAAACTTGAGTGACAGAAGGACGAAGATGTCAAAAAAAGTGCGACGACGGAAAATTTTATCGCTTCTGTTTTTCAATCCGTACGGAGCGTGTGGAGTTCATTTCGTAGCTTGAACTTGTGAAAATTATTATTTTTACAGTTCAAATCTACACAAATTGTAGTTAGTGAATTGATTTCTATCGATTTCCATCAAATACCATCATAATTAGGTGAGAATAAAATTACATTTTGTTCATTGTTATGGCAAATGAAAGCAAACGGACTGAGGAAACCTTGAGCATTTTTATTTTCTAGAACTGTGAAGTCATCGTTTGTCAAGCTTGTCTCGCTTGAAGAAGACAATTACAATTATAGTTATCAACAACAAAAAAATAATCAATATTACATTTTTGGTGAACCATTTTAGGCATTCCTCCTGTATTACGATGGAGGACCGCAGCGGAATCGAGCGTATTTATGGTGGTTGCGAGGGTCCGGATGCCATGTACGTGAAGCTAATCTCTTCGGATGGACATGAATTCATCGTGAAGCGGGAGCATGCCCTCACTTCGGGAACAATCAAGGCTATGCTTTCAGGACCCGGCCAGTTTGCAGAGAATGAAGCGAACGAGGTCAATTTTAGAGAAATACCGTAAGTACGAAACTCTTGTAGACGATAGAATCTGCGTCAATTATATAATTTGATCGCTCGTTTGAAAGCGCTTATCTCCCGTTGTCGCTGCTGACGGGATTATGCTGGGTGATTTTGTTTTATTTATTTCATTACTCACTGCTCTTTCGATGCCACAATTCAGTCTGCTGGACACATGAACTTTGGAACGTGATTAGCTTTTTGAGGAAAAAAATACGGATAGGGAAGCCGGTCGCCGGTTAAGCATGCCGGTTTACGTTGTTTGCGTTGATTGTAAATACTTCTGCTGATTTTTGGTCAAATACATGTCCCATTAGACTTCATTATCGGAAATATGAATGACTGCTAACTTGAATTAAAATCTCTGTTTTTTAACTTGTAGATCACACGTCCTGGAAAAGGTGTGTATGTACTTTACATACAAGGTGCGCTACACCAACAGCTCTACGGAAATTCCCGAATTCCCGATCGCCCCGGAAATTGCGCTGGAGCTGCTGATGGCTGCTAACTTTTTAGACTGTTAGAAACTATGTAAGAAACGTGCGCGTGTTCGGTCGTGAGAAAGAGAATGAACGTCGGAAAACAGCAGATTGGGTATTGGCTTAATTAACTCGGAACAACTCATAAATAGAAAACAGCATAATTTATCATCATTTTTATTGTCAGTAAAGAAGTGGATACATACACCGGTAGATGCGAATACTCCCACATTAAATGGCAAAGTTTCTTCGACAGACAGGATGATATACTTTAATCGGCGGAAGACACTGCAGCCTTACCAGGACAGAATAGTTTGTACATTGTTTTTTTTTTGATTTTTAATTCGCATTACAGATAGTGTGGAAACAATATGATTTACAAACAATTTTAGAAGTTTAAGCATCATAATTTATTTGTTTGTTGATAGATGAAGCTTACTGGCTAATCAATTGATTTTTGGAGCATTTCTTATAAAATAAAAATTATCATTCGGAAATCATGTTCACACAGCCCAGCCCAGCAACAAGTCTATCATGTCTATGTTGATTTAATTTCTATTATTGACCTATCTTTTGACTGAACGTTTTCTTTCTTTTTGGCTTTTTGTAATCATAATTTAACCGTTTCAAGTAGTAGGTACACATAGCAATGTAATCTACTATTATAGTGAAGAAATTAAAACAATTGGAACTGGAGTTAAACTAGGAAACAAATATGTAAACCAAAGCACTTTGGCTATTTAGTTGGAGGGCGACATCAACCTTATGGAATGTGTTTTGCTAATAAAGATAGAAAACAAATGGGAAACACTTGGAGATGGAAGCGGTTGGTTTCTTTTTTTTGCGAAAAAAATAGTGCAGGGTGACCACCGAACTGGGAATTAACTTATTAGTAGAATCATTATAATCACCCCTATTCTGTATTTCGTTTCGAACGAAATTCTCATACAAAAAAAATATTTTTTTGTATGAAAATTTCGTTCGAAACGAAATACAGAATAGGGGTGAATATCTTTACGGATTTCCTTAGGTACATTCCGAAATGTCGTCACAATTAATTTTAATTTCAGGATTCCCCTTAACATAACGATTGCGACACCGATTCCTAGTCCTGACTAGTGCTGTGACGAGGTCGTATTTATCGATAATATCGATATGGGTCTCTGAAAATATCGATATCATTTCGATATCGGATCCGATATCCAATATTCAATGGAAAATACATTAAACATATTTCATTCTCTTCCAACTTCATAATGCATTTGGAATATCAAAAACATCGACATTACACAAACAAAAATATTCTATCCACCCTTCGAGCCTCACCGTGTTTTCGAAACCAAACGCTCTCAAGAGACCGAGGTTGTAATATTTACTATTTTTACTTGTCCTAAGTAAGATAAGTACCGTAAAATAGCACATGCCATTAGTTCGGTACCACTCCCTGCGTATCTACATATCAAATTCTCTACAAAGTGAGCTGTCCACTGTGGTTATTATTGCGTTGAACGATTCCCTCGTGATAACTCCATACCAAATTAGCGGTAGAGATCTTTCTCAATGGCTCGCCACGAACAAATTCTTCGTTACCAGATCCTGGAGATAGAACCATGTTAATGATTATTAACATCTGACCGATATCGAATTTCGATTATCGTTGATATCGGATTCTTAAATATCGGGTATCATATAGATAATTTATACCCGATAATTATCGATATCGTCACAGCACTAGTCCTGACTACTTCAAACTAGGGGAACAGGATTTTTCAGTAATAAAAGAAACATATCTTAGTCCTTGTTACTTTGAATGCCTTGTTGATAGTAACAAGACTCGGCTTTGCCCACCGAGGATGATCTTGAAACAAGGAAAAATTAGTTAGTTAGTCTTCATCTATGTGATTCCTAATCTTCTATTCGTTGTTCCCTAGTTTGAAGTGGTTATGACTAGGGTTCTGATGCATGGTCATTATCGGTGTAATTCCTTAATTTTGTTGCTAAGGAAAAAGAAAACGCGATTCAACTTGTTTTCAAGCATCAGAAGAGATGTCGCTATCTGCGTTGTTTGATTTTCTCCCGGACCAGAAATTAGTAGCATCGCGAGTGATAAATTTTAATTTCAGTTTATTTACGCGCTGCAAGATGCACAATCGGTGTTGATGTTGGCTCGCTTGCAACTTTCTTTGCAAAAAAAAAATGATCGAAATTGTACCAAAAGTGCTTCTGAACGTGTGTCGCAGTTGGGTGTGACGAAATTCGTGAATTCGCGGTTTATGTTCAGTGAAAATTCCGTATCACAAAAGTGCTCACCGAGTTCCCTTTTTTGCCGTTCGACGACGACGGGCTTGCGAGAGAAAAATAGGCATCGGGAATGTGCTCCCGGATGTATTGATTTGGTGAGTACGTTCCAGTTGAAGATTGTTATTATACATTTCTCGATTGCATTTTCGAGGGGACGTTCGGAGAGCTTTGAGACTTAAGGCCGGCGCACAATAGATACGTTTTCAGGTTTTTTGACAGTTAACCCATGCATTATCTGTCAAAAAACCCGAAAACGTATCTATTGTGCGCCGGCCTTTAGGCGTTGTTGCTTTTGCGGGCAAACGCGTTGGTCGCCGGTAAGGGCCAGTAAGTGCTGCCAGCAGATGAATCAAGAGGTATTCGAAACAAAATTGATAAGAAATGTCTAATGTTTAATACAGTTGAACAAATGTTAAAACTATATAGGTACGTGCCAGATTTGGAAATAATATTTTTTGAATCTGGAAGTGTGTTTATGACACTAGCGTGCACAGGGATCTTGTTAAGGAGGGGCAATTGTTTTTTCTATGGTGCATTTAATCTGGGGATGGGGAGTACTCCAAAGTGCGTGGTGGATACTGCTGTCCACCCACCACTGTTTCCCTACTGTTCAATTTCGCTAATTTTATTTATTTTTTGCCCCGGTGGTGTTTCATCTTCTGCAATGCAAACTGCTTTCAGACAGCCAATGGAATTGGCAATTTAACCCCATCGACGATGTCAATGATGATCGGTTCGTCAAATGGTTGCAATAGTAGGGCTTTAACCGAAATGATACATTTGCTGCAATGTTGTTGCCTTGGTGGTTGGATTCAACTGAAGTCACGTCAGATGGTGGTGATAGCACCGACAAACCGACATGAATGACCAATAAGAATTGCATTATCCTTTCGCATGCACACTGCGTCGACAAGTACAAGGTTCAAACAGTGCGCATAGCAGTGCTCTTGATCAATCCAATCTTGATCAGTGGAGTTGAGTACTTGGCACTGATGAAGTATGCAAGTAGGAGACGAAACACGCGTATCTGTCAAAAGATGAACAGTTATAACGGAATTAAAAGGAAATAAACCAACACACTCAAAGCTCTTCATAAATGTATATTGCTGGTTTTATCCTTGCACTTGGCTTGTACTCCAGCAGTGCTGCCAGCCATTGTGCTAGCATTGTCAAAACATACTGCCATTAAAGGCCCAAACGCAATGTGGGCGGATGCGGAACGGAAACGGAAAGTTTGACAGTTGTCACAAATGACGTCAAGATGCGTAACCGAAGTCGATTCGGTTCTAACTAGTTTTCAATCCGACAAGTAGACATACTCAGATCGGGCTTTTCCGCTGCCTTTGCCGTTCCGCTTCTGCTATCATTGCGCTTGAGCCTTAACTGCTCCCAAGAAATCTGCATCGCTGTCAGGACCTCAATATACCTCATAACAATCGCTCGTCTCATCTGCAATGATTGCCACTGGTTTTCCTCGCATGGTTTTCGCAATGTTCCGCAACATTACATTGTGCAACTACGTAATCATGTCATTTTGAATACGGTTACTTGTGTACTGGCATTTTTTGGCACCTTCCGCCAAATGTTTTTCAGCACAGGATCGTAGTTAACCACCAACTGGGTGGCACACTTCCCGCTCCTTCCGAATGTTCACGAAGTGCTCGGCCACCTTTGCAAAGTATGCGCACAATATCGATGAAACGTTCCATTATATAGCGATTTTGTAGCCGCTTTGCCTTACTAGCAGCAATCATACCTGTTTTTTTTGTGGTGCAGTTCTTCGTCGATACACTTCCTGGTTTTGAAATTCTTCCACGCTTCTATACTACCAACATGGGTATAACTGCGATTGTGTTTGCCCAGCAACTCAGTCGCTTTCTTCCAATTTCTGAACCATGTAGGAATCCTTGTAATAATGTTTTGCAGCATGCTCTTCATTACAGGTTAAAAATATAAACCAAAGAAAATATATTCTTCAAGATACTGGTATCATCTTTTGTTCAGTTACCTTTATGAAATTTTGTGCAGTACGTTTTTGTATATTTTGAAGGCATCGTTACAGTTTATTTCTGACTATTCCAACGTTTTGCAAGCCCTTATACCCCGAACAGACTATGGCTTATATCATGTAATACAGGTCTTGCAATGAGTACTCATACATCTAGTTTCACTGGAAATCCTATGTATGAGTGCTCATTTCAAGACAGTCTATATTACATGATATAAGCCATAGTCTGTACGGGGTATTATATGCTGTTGTAGTTACACTTTACAATTACCGTTGCGAATACGTTGAATTTGGTCAGTTTCAGCGAAAATTGTGGTTCTATTTTTTTGAAATTTTGACCTTAATGCCAAGGCCATGTTTTAAAGATGATATAAAGGACAATCCCGAACTTTTTGCAACGCACATAAACAGCTGTAACTAAATGACTTGACATTTTCATAGAAGATTCTTAGACAAATTCTTAGTACGACAACAATAGACCAAGGTTCAATGGCAAACTAATACCCACTTTTCAATTGGAGAATCCAAACGCTGCCTTTAAACTTTGTACAGTCGGCGAGATGGATCAGCCATGGTCTTAGCCTAAAGCAACGAAAAAAAAAAACTTTGTACACTTGCAAAAAAGTCCATCCTCAGAATTCCTTGAGGTTCTTTTCGAAATTTTTAGAACTCTTTGAGCTCTTTTAAAATTCTTCTCAGAAGTCCTCTGGAGTTATTTTTAGAAATCTTCTTGAATTTTACTCAGAACACCTTGGAACTGAAATTCCCTTAGAGTTTCAGAAGAACTTCCTCAGTATTTATTATCCAGAAATTATTCCCGGAATGTGTTAGAAACTATCGGTACTCCCTTGAATTTCACTCAATATTTATTTTTTTCGGTATTCTTTTCGGAATTATCGTGGAACTATCTGCCGGGTTCACTAGAAATTATTCGCAGAATTTTCTTGGAATACTCCCCAGAAATCCTTTGGAACTGTCCTCAAGGATTCTTCTCGGATTTTTTTAGAACTCTCCTAAGAGCTCTTTTGAAATTCTTCTCAGAAGTCCACTGGAAGTATACTTAGTACTCTTCATGATTTTTTCTCAGAACACCTTAGAACTAAAATTCCTTTAGAGTTTCAGAAATTTTTCGAAATTATCTTGGAACTTATCTTGAATTCTCCCCAGAAATATTTTGGAACTGTCCTAAAAATTCAATATCCTTGAGGTTCTTTTCGGAATATTTTTGAACTTTTTTTTTCTCAGAACACCTTGAAAGTTTCAGAAGATTTTTTCTGTATTCTCCAGAAATTCTTCCCATAATGAGCTTGAAATTATCCTCAGAATTCCCTTGACATTTTTCTCAACATCCCTTTGGAATTTCATTCAAAATTTGATTCTCACGGTATTCTTTTCGAAATTATCTGCAGGATTCACTAGCAATTATTCGTAGAATTTTCTTGAAATCAATCAGGGAATTTTTTACTTTTGGAACTGTCA